GTTTTTCTTCCACCTGCTGCTTCATGAAGCTGCTCCGACGCTCAAACACTCAGAGTCTGAATGTAACGGATTCAGATTAACATGTCGGTGTGTGTGTGTGTGTGTGTGTGTGTGTGTGTGTGTGTGTGTGGGCCTCCCCCTCCCCCCCGTGTTCGCTCCATTTAACTGAAGCCACCAGCTACATGAATACATGAATACATGAATCCATGAGGAGCTCGGCCAGCAGCTCCGTTACAACCTGCTGCTCTCTGCAGGACCAGAGCTGAAGAACGTGTTCTCAACGTGTTCCCTCTGGAGGAGAACTTGGTCACTGAAAACGCTCAGACTGATGACTGACGATCAGAACTTTGGGATCAGTCTGACAGCTGAACCCAGATCAGCTCGTGGTGCCGCTCTGGACCGGCCTGTTGGTTTGTTGCTTCTTCAGAACTGACTTTGTGTCACTTCCTGGTTGTCTCGTTCTGCAGAGAAACCCACCGACAGAACATCTGAGGTTCTAATGAGGCCCCTGAGCCGCAGAGAACAACCAGCACGGTTCTCCTGTTCATCATCAAGTCAGTTTGACTCTGCAGACACAAGAACAAGNTCCTACGGTTCCGTCACACCAGAACCCAGTCAGCGTTGTTGTTTGCTGTGTGTTTGCAGCTACACAACTGAGCCAGAACCTCTGACTGATTCATGGAGAAAATAATCTGAAGTTCTACGTAGAACCGGATCCAACAGTGGTTCCACAACCGCAGGTTTCAGAACATGAATTTTAAAAGGTTCTGGAGCCTCCAGGTTGTTGTTCTTCATCCATCAGCAGAACATCTGACACTGAGCCTGACCCGGTCCGTTCCTCTGTTCTGAACCAGAGTGGACCGTCTGCATGGAGCTCTTTAGTTCATGTTTGTATCAGTCCAGAACGTCTGACGGGTCTCAGCGGAACCAGGCTGCAGTGTGTGTGGTTTACAAAACAGCTGAGCTTCATTAGAACCTAAACGCTCCCCGAGTCTCTGTGAAGGTCGAACTCTCAAACGATTACCGATCTCATCAATTCTGCTGCAGCGGGGGGAGGGGGGAGGGGGGGCTCTGCTGGAACAGCCGGAGGAGGGCGGCGGCCAATCAGAGCGCAGATACATAACAGAGCAGCACAGTGACCTTCTGTCCAATGAGAGGCAGGGAAGGACGACGACAGAGCAGCAGCCTCACTGGTCTGGACACGCTGCAGGGTTCTGGACCGGTTCTGGACCGGTTCTGATCCGTGGGTGGAGGTAAAGGGCAGCTGCAGTGTGAAAAGGCTGCACAGAACCAACAACAGCCTGGTGACTCACATAACGGGTCCAGCTCCACTGTTCAGACTGTGGACATCCCATAATACTGCTGCTCAGCCGGCTCTACTGGATCACTCTGAATGAGTCAGGTCCATTTTCAGGTGGTTCTGGACCCTGGTCTGGTCGTTTTGGTTAAATTCTAGTCAAGTTTAGAGTCAGTCTGAATAAAGGAAAGTTCTGGACAGTTTCCAGCTGATCAGGACACCAGAACTGACATGAAACACGTTTTATAACATCTGGACCGGTTCTGGTCAGTTTGGGTCAATTATGATGAATTATTTTTACTGTTTTATTTTACAGAACCAACGATTCTGTCTGATGCTGGAAACATGTTTACAGCATTAATGTGTGTGTGTGTGTCTGTGTGTGTGTGTGTGTGTGTGTGTGTGTGTTGTTTGACTACAGCTCAACTCTGTGACATCATCAGCAGCTGATTCTGCTCTGAGGTCGGCGCCATGGCAACACAAGTGACCTTTGAACTCATTACAGCCTGCAGACACACACACACACACACACACACAGAGACACACACACACACACACACAGACACACACACACACAGACACACACACTTCATTTCTGTCGCTATTCATTCAGTGTTTTTGTTTTCATCTTGTTTCTGATTAACTGACTCACGAACAGACTCAGTAACAGACTCAGACCTGACTTGTAACTGACTCGAAACTGACTCAGTAACAGACTCAAAGCAGACATGTTCTGATTAATCTGGTATTTCAGAATAAATAAACTAAATCTGCTTCCTTTGAATATTTTATTCACAAGAGTTTGTTTTATTGTGAAAATCTCTCAGAAAGTGCTTGTTGTTCATTTTTAGAGACTGATTAGTGTCTGTGTGT